GTAGGTGTTCAGAATGGTTTGATCCCTATCCAGCTGAATTCCTGAGACCAGACGAAATCCAGGTCTCCTACTCCTCCGCCATCTTGCTCCTCCCCCTCCTCATTTTCCTTTTAATTGCATTCTATGCTTTGAGATCAAGGCTAGATAATCAAATTTAAGGCATGGAAATAGCTAATGTCATTGCAGTCATGCTTTCTTTGTGTGCAGAAATGAATTCAGTGTTTTATAGGGGTCTAGGAAGATGTAGTGGAAAGCCTATCAAAAAACAGTGGTTTGTCCTACACATTACAGACCATAAGGTGATGACTTAAGTATACCTTGATAAATGATCCTTAGTAAATGTTAGATGTGAGTATGAGCCATATTTTGTGGTCTCAAATACACTGACATCTTTAATTTGGGGATAGAGGTAGGATGCAGGCCAAGAGAACTCAGGGCTAGGAAGATGTTCTCCCATGGATGAAACATATCCAATTAGAAGAAAAAAAGAGACTCTGGCAGGGGAAAGGAATCATTTGCAAAGCTGTGAAGTCAGAAGAACAAAGACAAGCACATGTACGAAACTGGACCCATGTTTGGTTTGCTGAGAAATCGCTGAAGGCTGGGAAAGCAAGGGGGACAGGGATGCCTGGAAAGGTTAAGAGCAGGGAATGCAGGAAGTCTTCCACCCATGCAGAGATAGTTGTGCAAATGTCCTGGGGGATTTAGGCAGAGAAAAATAACGATGAAGTCATCTTTGGCATTTCTTGATGTGTCTATGGTCTCTGGAAGCCGGGTGGTGGTGTTTTCTTCCTTCCCTTCCCTTCCTTTCCCTTCCCTTCCCTTTCCTTAAAAAATTGAGTTATAGTTGACATACAATAAACTGTTCATACTTAAAGAACACAATTTGTGGGGCTCCTGGGTGGCTCAGTTGGTTAAACATCTGACTCTTGGTTTCAGCTCAGGTCATGATCTCAGGTTCATCAGATCGAGCCCCACATTAGGCTCGGTGCTCAGGAGGGAGTCTGCTTCTCTTCCTCTGCCCCTCCCCCAGCTCATGCACACTCTCTTTCTAAAATAAATAAAATAAAATCTTTAAAGTGCACAATTTGGTAAGTTTAGACATATGTATGTACCCAGGAAACCATCACCACAATTAAGATAGTGAACTTGTCCATCATCCCCAAAAGCTTCCTTGTCCCCCTTTCTAATCCTTCCCCCACCCCATTGCAGGTAACCACTGATCTGTTTATATCACTATAGATCAGTTTGCATTTTCTAGAATTTTAAATATATGGAATCATACAGTTCATACTATTTTTTGTCTGGCTCTTTCATTCACCGTAATTATTTTGAGACTCATCTATGCTGTTGTGTGTATCAAGTTTATTCCTTTTTGTTTTAAAAAATTTTTAAGTAATCTCTACACTCAACACAGGGTGCAAACTCACAAGATCCAGAGCTGCATGCTCCACCGACTGAACCAGCCAGGCGCCCCTCAAGTTCATTCCTTTCAATGAACTTTTTAAAATGGCTGAGTTGTATTCCATTGCATGGCTGTGTCTGAGTTTGTTTAGCCATTCACCCAGTGCTTGCTTCTTTGACTAGAGAAATCTTGGCCAAAGCTGGGAGCCCTCATGTCATGGTCCACTCACCCTGGGTTCCCCATGAGGTCCCCTGAGTGCTGTGAGGCCTCACTGTCTTCAGCCCTCCCCAATCTCGGTGTCTTCCAGAAAAGAACACCAGGAACACATCCGTATTCATTTCCTAGGGCCGCTGTAACAAATTACAGTGGCTTAAAACAACAAGAATTTGTTCTATCACAGTTCTGGAGACCAGAAGTCTAAAATTAAGGTGTCTCCAGGGTCAACTCCCTCTAAAGACTCTAGGGAAGAATGTCTTTTTGATTCATCCAGCTTTGGGTGCCTCCAGGCAGTCCTTGGCTTGTGAGTCCTCCCATCTCTGCCTCCACCCTCACGTGGTCTGTTCCCCTGGTTCTCTGTGTGTTTTGTTTTCGGTCTCTTACAAGAAAGCCCATTATTGAATTTAGGGCCCATCCTGATCTGGGATGGTCTCATCTTGAGATCCGTACTTTAATTACATCTGTAGAGACTCTTATTCCATTAAGGTCACTTGACTTCTCTGGCTCCCCTTGCTCCTGCACATGTGGTCCAACAATAGACCCAGTTGAAGGATCAGTTTCTCCCAGCTTCTAAGCAAAGTGTGGTCCAGGTGCAATAAAGAGCATTCCCCCCCGCCCTAGGTGGCCCTCCTAGAATAAGCCCTTTCTCACTCCCTCATACAAAGGTGCCCCACAGTTCCCTATGGTGTGCATTACTCCTTGTTTTGACAAGTATTAGATCCAATTTGTTCAACTACAGGTGCTCCAGATATGTCCACCCAGGACCTCAGAATAGTGGTTGGTTGAACTGAGAAGGTCAGAGGCTGGGGCAGATCCTCTTTAACTCACCTGAATTACATTTAGCTTAGAAACCAGGACAGATTGACCTTTACACTTGGTTTGTCATTGGACCAGCTGTGATGGAGCCGTCATGGACAGCAGAAGCAAGGGAAGCCGGGTCATGGTTGTGACCAAGAACAGGCACTAACCTGGGTACAGAAGCCCCTTACCTGCCCCTTTTCTGCCTTAGTCACCACTGATACCAGTTCCTGGCATGCAGTAGGTCCTGTTTAAACACTTAGTGGATGAACAAATGAAAACATCAGACCTGATTTTTTTTTTTCTCTCATTCCCACAGGAGGGGTCCCAATGGAAAAGCTGGCAGCCTATAGCTCATCCAAGGCGGCTCTGACCATGTTCTCAGCAGTCATGAGACAGGAGCTTTCCAAATGGGGAATTAAAGTCTCTGTCATCCAGCCTGGAGGCTTCAGGACGAGTAGGTGTCTAAGCCTAAGAGCCCCAGGGATGCTGAAGGTCCTTTGGATGTGGTTTTGGAATGTAGGTGAAGTTTGGTGGAGTGGGGTCTGGAGCCAGTGGCCATGAAAGAATTCTTGAGACATCTTTGGGGCAAAAACATGTTTTTATTAAAGCACAGGGACAGGACCCAAGGGCAGAGAGAGCTGCTGCACCAGGATTATGAGGGGTGGTTGATTATATACTTGGGAGTTGGGGGAGGTAAGGAAAAGGGAGGTTTCAAAAGGATTTTCATATACAAAAGAGGACCTCCAAGATACTGGAGGCCTTGCCATTGTCAAGTTCAGGTTGTTTTTCCCTTTAGTAAGGCATTAACATTAAGACAGTTGGGAGCTTCCGAGGAGTGTCACACATCCCACCCAGGAGTGCGGTGGGGGGTGGGGGGTAGGAAGAAAACTGAGGCTCAGAGAGGTTAAGAGCCACAGAGGTGGTATGAGTCCGAGATGGGCTTTAGGTCCAGGTCACCCTAACAATTTCATTGTGTATGGCCCCAAAGTGGCAGGGGATGGGTTTGTGGGTGTCAAAAGTGGCAGATGAAAGTTGACAGAAATCTGGTGGCTTTGTTACCACTAAAGAGAGCTTTGGGGTCTCTGCACAGAGTACCCACAGAAGTGGTTAGAAAGTCCATGAGGTGTTTAGAGAGGGAGGAAGTGGAGAAGAAAAGGAATCCCTCAGCCTGAGAAAGCAGAGACTGGGGGAGAGTTAGCTGGAGGAACATAGTTCACACAACATGCTGTTCCAGACCCAGAAACCTCTAGAGTAATTGTCAGGGTAATCATTTCTTTACGTGTGGTCTTGTGCCTTCATGAAAAGAACTGAGCAAATCCGTTTGCATTTCTGTGAGTATAATTGGATGTCACTGGCTTACGTTTCACAACCTGGCTTCCCCACAGACCTGATATCCTGGAGTCACCCAAGCTAGTAAACCCAGGCTCATCTCACAGCCATCCCTGGAGCGATCACACACTTTGCAGGAGGGAGCATGGGGTGCTGCATCCTTTCTGGAAAGTAATCTGGCAGAAGGTATTAAAATTCAAAATGCCAGTGCCTTTTGACCAGCTAACCACATTGTGGGAGCTGCCTGCAGACGTAACGACAGTAAAATACAAAAGGATGCATTGTGCAAGGCTATTTATGCAGCATCACTGAAATGTCGAAACCTAGGAATGACTGCAAAGTCCTTTGATAGAGAAGTGGTTGCCTAAAAGCTGTTCAATGGGAAATTTCCGCAGCTCTGTTTTAAATCTGTAGCTTGACTATCAGAGGCAGGTCTGTGATTTATTACTAAGCAAGCAATCATATCTTTGGAAAACACTGTATAGTGTGATCCTTTTTGGTTTTTGTTTGTTCCTGATAATATAAAGTTAAACCAAAGCCTTCTATGCGTATATATGTTTGTATGAACAAGGAGGGAATATAGAAGGACACACAAAACTGTAAGTTACCTTAGGAGATTAATTTTAAAAACATATACATCTTATTATTTACTTTATTTTATGTAATGAGCAGGCATTGATACTATATTTTAAAGTAAATATATATAATTAAGTTATATATGATAAGCAACCATTGCTTCTATATTAAATGTTTATATATTTAATCACATATAATTTATATGTTAAAATTTAAATGTATATTTATTATGTATTGTTTAAAATTATATTTATTAGATAAGATGATAGTCAACATTGTATATTTAATTTTATACCTAGAAATAGGTATCACTTCTATATTAAAAATTATATATAGATGTGGGGCGCCTGGGTGGCTCAGCTGGTTAAGCGACTGCCTTCGGCTCAGGTCATGATCTTGGAGTCCCGGGATCGAGTCCCATATCGGGCTCCTTGCTCAGCAGGGGGTCTGCTTCTCCCTCTGACCCTCCCCCCTCTCATTCTCTCAAATAAATAAATAAAATCTTTAAAAGAAATTATATATAGATGTATATATGGGTATGCATATATATGCATGTATATTATATTGTATATGTTACATTTTATATTGTATATAATTATCATGAAAATGGATGTAATAGAATGTTTGTGGCAGCACTATTTGTAAGAATCCCGAATTGGAAACAACCCAAATACCCATCACAGTATAATGGACAAATAATGTATGACATATTTATACAATGGAAAACTGCACTGACAGGAATGACCAAACAGTACATGGATGAATCTCACAGCGTAATACGTGATTCCATTTACATAATGTCCAAATCCAGGCAAAACTGCTCTATTCTGTTAACTTGGGACAGTGGCTCCTGGGAAGGGGGCTGGGAGTGGGGGCTTCCAGGCCGGTTTGCCTTCTTGTTCTGCTGCTGGTTGCGTGGGCTATTTAGTTTGTGGAAACCCAGTCCTGTGTGAACTTTTCTGTATGTATGTCAAAAAAATATATTAAATACCACTTAAAGCACATTTAAATAAAAAGGTGTTTGGGAATGCCACTCCTTCCCAAGAGAAGCCAATTCACAAGGGCCTGCTTCCCTGGTAGGGGTTGGACATGCCCGATCTGGCCTCCCCAGTATCTGAGCCCCCCTTCTTCTTGCATCACAGATATTGCAGGCACCAGTGAAGTGTGGAGCAAGCAGGAGAAGGACCTCTTGGACCACCTTACCTCTGACGTTCAGGAAGACTATGGCCAGGACTATATCCTCGAGCAGCGGAATTATCTTAAGTTGATCAACATGAAGGCCAGCAAAGATATGTCCCCTGTGCTCCTGGACATCCGACATGCTGTGTCTGCTAAGAGCCCCTTTGCCTTTTATGCGCCGGGCGCAATGGCTTATTCGTTGATCTGCTTTGTTTCCTTTAGTCCTACTGGCATATTTGATTATTTTAGCAAAAAATTGCATAACTTTGGAGGAGGCTTGCCCAGGGCACTAATTAAACAGGCCTAACTGAAGAATAAGCCACATGGGCAAACACGTGGGAAATGTCTTGGAACGAAAGGGAAACTTGAACTTCCCATTAAAGTTGTGGTTTCCTACCTTGCATTCCCTGTGAATTCTGTTGATTGACTAGGTCTTAGTGGTGAAAAGGCTAGCGGGTAGAAATGACGTTAATCGAGTGCCTGCTCTGCACGGATACATTTCAGATATTCTCTCATCTAATTCTCATCAGAGAACCAAGGTAGGTATCTCCACCCCTACTTAACAGGTAAGGGAATTAAGGATCAGAGAGGGTAGGTTGCTAGTTCATTGTCACACAGCTAGCAAAAGGCAGTTAGAATTGACTCCAGTGGAGCTGGACTCCACTGCCTGTCAGGAGAGGAGGAAGAGAAAGAGATGATGGGAAAAATGAGGTAGGGAAGGGAAAAGAGGGGAGGAACTGGCAAGGACTAGAGTCAAGTGGAGTTTTTCTCACCATGAATTGATAGCCTGCTGTACCTACTGTATACAAGGTATTGATTCCAGTGTGTAATCAGTGCTCCATGCACCTCCTCTCCCTTCCTCTCCCTGGAGGTCTGGAGATAGGAGGATGAGGTCTCCCATCTCAAGAAGGGCCCCAGAGCCCTTTTGGCAAACCCAGGGCATGTGAGTGGCTGGTTTGGTGTCCATAGTAACCATCACTGTCACCTCCATCTGAGCATCCCAGGATGGAAAAGCCAACATCTTTACCTGGAGAAGCCAGCCAAAGGGAGCAAGGTCAGATACCAAGAGAGGCGGGGTCAAGTTCACCTGGGGGAGGCAAAAAGGGAGGAGCTGGTGAACAGGGGGCATATAAAAGGAACTAGAAAAAAACAGCAGCTTGACATGAGGGAAGCAGAGGTCCAGACATGGCAAACATCTCTTTGTCCCATTTCCTTTCTAGAATGTGCAGGTTATTTTTCTATTTTCCAACCTCATGGAGATTTTAGGAGAGTAGATAAACTGACGATGTTCCGCATTTTCCCCCAAAAGAAAAGAATAAATAATAAGGTGGTGAGATAGATAGTTATGATATTATTAATATGATAGAGTTTTAATGGCTAGTCATGCCAACTGCCCCGTAGTTCTCCATCATTGCTTTACGGCAGAACAGAAAGAAAAGAAAAAAAAAAAAATTCAAGCTTTAACCATTGATTTCCAGAATAGGTACTTTTTGGAGTTGAGAGTTGTCAAGGCCAAAGCTTTCATTTGCATGCTTCAGATCTTGAGAGAGCAAAGGGTTTGTGTAACCAGAATTTGGAGGAGGACTGAGGATTATGTATTTCACTATAAAGCAGTGGTCCTCAAAGTGATCCCTGGACCGCAGCATCACCAACACCTGAGCATCGATTAGAAATGCAGATTCTCAGGGGCCAACGCAATCATATTTTAGGTTCTTATGATGGCTCCTGTAACAAATTATGAAAAACTTAGCAGTTTAAAAATATACACTTATTATTTTACAGTTCAGGAAGTCAGAATTCTGAAATGGCTCCTACAGGGAGCCAAAATCAAGTTGTCAGCAAAACTTCATTCCTTCCGGAGGCTCTAGGGGTGAATTCATTTGCTCGCTCTTCCAGCTTCCAGGTCTCCTGTATTCCTTTGCTCGTGGCTGCATCACTCCAACTTCTACTACTGTGGTCTCCTCTCCTCCGACTCTGCTTCCTTTTTATAAGGAGCCTTGTGATGGCACTGGGCCCACACATAATCCAGAATAATCTCCTTATCTTAAGATCTTTAATTTAATCGCATCTGCAAAGTCCCTTTTGCCACATGAGGTCACATATTCACAGGTCCTGGGGATTCATGTATATGATCATTACTAGGGACCTTTATTCTACTGACAACATCCACTGAATCAGAAATTCTGGGGGTGGGTCCAGCAACCTGTGTTGTACCGAACCCTCCAGGTGATGCACACCCATGTCTGAGAACCCCTGCTCTAGGACACAGAGTAAGCACGTTGGCCACAAAAGGAGGGGGAAAGCTCTTTGGGTTTAGTGGGAGGGAGCTGGAGACATCAGGCTGAGTAGTGCTGGGCAAATACACCAGCCTTTAGGAAACCAGTGTGGGACCTACTTTCTGTTCTGATGAAAACTCCATGAGGCATGGGGAGAAGGTGCTGGATACAGACCCAGAGGGGCTGAGAATCCCAGATCTGAGAAGCTCCTAACTGGTTCCCCCCAGGAGGGCTTCCACCCTGCCTTGGGGTTACCTGGGAGGGAAGTATACCACAAGGTTGTCTATTTAGCCAGAGAAAGACTGAAAACCTCTTCCCACCACTCCCATCTTGACTCCCTTGGGTCTGGGTGGAAGTGGGGATGTCTGGAAAAGTCACTGAAGCTCCTGCAGACAATAGGGAATAGAGCTAAAAATGAAGTATCTGGATGCCCTTGAGGCAGGTGGGGGTGTGTTGCAGCAGAGCCCACTTGGTAAACAGCCTTGGGCTGGGGGCTGAAGTGAGGATGAGAAATCCAAGGGAGGCCAGTGAGTAAGAGACAATGTCACATCCTCGGTGCTGTGCAAATACACCAGCCTTTAGGAACCCAGAATCTGAGGGCAAGAGAAGGAGAAGGGGGGAGAATCTTGCATGCCACTGCACGTTCATTGGGAAGACCCTGTTTTAAAGCAGCAGAGATTGTAATCTGAAAGTATCGAAAAGCATTTAAACATATTTCTTTTCTTTTTTTTTTTTTAAAGGTAGGCTCCATGCCCAACATGGGGCTTGAACTCACAACCCCAAGATCAAGAGTCATGGGCGCCTGGGTGGCTCAGTCGTTAAGCGTCTGCCTTCGGCTCAGGTCATGATCCCAGGGTCCTGGGATCGAGTCCCACATTGGGCTCCCTGCTCGGCGGGAAGCCTGCTTCTCCCTCTCCCACTCCCCCTGCTTGTGTTCCTGCTCTCGCTATCTCTCTCTCTGTCAAATAAATAAATAAAATCTTTAAAAAAAAAAAAAAAGATCAAGAGTCATATGCTCTACCCACTGAGCCAGCCAGGTGCCCCCAAACATATTTCATTTTTAGCACAATACATATAGTTTCTCAGAAAACAAGAGTGACAAGTATTACATACAAAACACCTCCATGCCCTGACCATGTCTGCCCAGTATTGGTGTTCCTGGTTTACCATAAGAAACCAGTAAGAGTTAATGGCAGAGGGAAGCCCCCAATATGCCCACAGTTTGACCAGCATGATGAACAAACAGGTGATTCAACAATAGGACTCTTGGCAAAAAATATTTCATCCTCTCAGTCCTGCTCTTCTGCTTAAGGTCAGGATACAAGGCACATGTAATACCTGGTCACACAGCATCACACACAGATTGCATACAAAACCTCACCCACTCCTCTTTATCTCTTCCTTTTCTATATTTTCCCAATGCTGGAAGCAGGAAAGTGGGCAATCCTTACAACACACCCGAGATAAGAGGGAGGAATTAGGAAAACATCCAGTGAAAATATGATTACTTTATTACATAAGGAGCTGATAAATGCCTACAAATAAACCTCACTGTATTATTTGAATGGAACATTAAATTTCATCAGTTTCATTATACTGGTGGTAAAGAACAAGTTTTGGAAGGCTATTCTGGATGGTGTAATTCTGAGGAAGAATAATTCCATGCAAACAGCTCTGTGGAGTGGTGGTACCTCCTGCCCAGTGAAAGTCCCCAGTCCAGGTCACACACAGTTGTCCACTCAGTGGGGGCTTAGAACACCTGCTCTGGAGTGGCTCAAAATAAAGTGTTTCTCTACCCATTTGTCTTGTAACCCAATATTTCCTTCCAGGATCTCAGGCGTGGGGATGACTGTGGCAGGACTGGATGGGTGTTTCTGAGTCTCTGTTCAATTCCCAGCTCAGAAGTCCACATCAAGAAATAAGAATCAAAAGGAAGAGAGATTGGAAACTAATTTGAAGGCTGAAAATAGGGAGATCTCAATGTCTGTAGTCTGAATTTGCATACTCTTCTGCCTGCTCAGTATTCCATTTTGGGGGATTTTGTCATTCAAGAGACCCCACCTCCCCACCATAGGGAGGGGTCATGTGACCTAGGCTGGCCAATCAACTCATACCATTGGCTTCAGAGATTGGTTCAGGGGTGGGCTTCTGATCCAAGAAGAGCCAATCTTGGCTCCCAGGGGTGGAAGAATTGCTAAGGCAATGGGAGAAAAAGGGTATCCATGTTAACTGAAGCTTCTAGCGCCCACCAAGAGCCCACCAACAATGAAGCCAGGATAGAGGAAAATGGAGCAGAAGGATGAAGAAAAACCAAGGTCTGATAACACAGTTTGAGCACCTTCATCTAGCTACACCTACAGATCCACCATTTAGGTTGATTTCCAAGTTGGGTGAGCCAATACATTTCCTTTAAACTATTTCAGGCTGGCTTTCTGTCTTTAGCAGCAGAATTATTTCCTGACAAATACACGTTCTAGGGAAGAGTTCAGTGAAGAACAAGGAAAATAATGCTACAGTGTTCTAGGGGAGAAAGAAATTGATGAGACTAAAGAAAATAAGACAGGAGTTAAGAGTGAGTATTACCATTCAGTGGCCCTCTCTCATAGAAAAGCAATTTTTCTATTAAAATTTCTTTTGGGGTTTTATCCACACAGTCTGTGTACATGGTCCCTCTGGAATAAGGTGAAACAAAATCCTTGCTGAGCCTCATGGTGCAAACCAAATATTTCAGCTGATCACTGGCAGTCCTAAACTACTGGAATGATATTTGGCTAGAAAACAGTGTAAGGTACATTGTGTCTAGGGTGATAAGACACTCTGTCCTGGTTCATCATAAAACTTAATTACCATATTGCAAAATGTAGAGATGACTAAAGTGAGAATCCCAGCTTACCATGGGAAACAGGAAGATTAATAAGCAAACTCAAGGCTAAATTATTTTACTTTTAGGATATTCCATTCATGGTCAGTGTATTCCAGTGACCTGGTAATCACCCCACAAATTTTTCCTATTTAGCTCTACTTTCTGTGCTTCCTCCTATTTTCATACTAGGTAATGATCCATTGATGGATATAATGTAACCTCTCTTTTTGGCATTGTCCCTTGTTCTCTCTCTTGACTATTCAA